TCTTCCGCATGCTTACATAGAAGCAGGGCAGAGAAATGACAAAACACACTAAGTGTGAACAGCCTCTAACAGTAATAGCGATTTGGAACTTTCTACACAGGAAGCAACTTTGAACCACAAAATCCAGACTTGCTATTAATTTCAATGGGGTTTGACATTAGCATGATGCTACGCTAAAGGCCCGTTCACACCAAGGACGATAAATATAACAATAACTATAAACTATTGCTAATCGTTTTAATTCTATGAGAATAGGGAAGTCCACACCAAAGCGACCAAAGAACGTCATTGTTGGAATCACTTTCAGAGTAATTTTTGTCAGCTGATGAACAATAAAAACATTCACAGCACTTGTGCACAAGTGCTTGCTATTTTTGTTCACTACTTTTTGGTACTGAATCAAGTTTTTTTTATGTTGCTTATTGCAATGCATTTTAAGATTGCCTTAACTGTTAAAATGACATGTTATGCAGCCTTTGAATTTGGCTAAAAAAGGTGTTTCTGGAGGAAGCATAATTTAGAACAACCTTCACACTGTAAGCACCTTTGATTCCTTAAAATATTGCCTCTGTAGGCAGCGCACTAGATTTTGGAAAAGAGAAAGTGTCTATGCTTTAGCAGTGGCAGGGTTTTTTTCTAAATAGAGATAAAGGGACTAATCTGAAAAGAAAACAATGACAGCAGTCTTTTTTTCTTATCATGCATCACAAAAATGTGATTGAAAGTAGATTAGGCCTAGAATAATGTACAGTACATTAACACACAGGCACTTATAATTCTATTGAATACTGTTGTAATATATCTTACATACAGCAGCATACTATATCATTTATCTGATACATAAAAGCTTTAAGAAGCCATGCAAAACCTGTACAAAAACATGTACCATTTATGTTGTAAACAAATGCATGAACATAACGAAACGAAACGAAACTAACAGCTTAAGAGGTGAGTAAGTATGACGTTTCACTCAACTGGCTGCATAACAGCAGGCACTTATCAGAGACCGATCAAGCCTGAAGAGCATCAGGAAGTGAATCTCAGACCACCTGGTCTAAGAGGAAGTCAACAAAGCCGCATGCAAGCTGACTGACGTCAATCACAACCCACCACACCTGATAGGAACTCCTACTGACTGCATTTCTCATGCTCTTTGCTTCAGTATAATGCCACTTACCACTTTTCTTCCACATTACGCATTGAAGACTTACGGCCCTTTTGCCGTAGGCCGGACTTAATGCTGTTTGGCCTGATTATTGACGTTACAAGTGTGTTTTACTGAAACTACTCAGTGTTACATGGAGCTGAACTCCTGTGCCCTTTACACTTTTTCCTCCTGAAACAAGAACATAAACGATACACACACAGACAATATATTATATCCTTTCTCTTCCACTCTATTTGATTTTTCAATCTTTCCTAGAAACATATTGATTGTGAATGCAGCATCCTAATTACAACCACCAAACCAGACTGTACAGGTCAAACACCAGCAATCTATAGTCTTTGTACAAACAGTTCAACTTTTCCATATGCTTTCAAGCATATATATATTTTTTATGAAATTTTCCCCCAGAGTGCTTTCTGAAATTCCTAAGCATGTTTTATTTGGGGGCCTTTGTTATTTTTTATTTATACAGATAGTAGAGAGAAGGAAAGGAATTGTTTGAGGGGAGAAAATGTGAACAGGACGCGAGCCAGATTCGAACCTGTCTCCTCCAAGTGAGTGCCAAGGCTCAACGTGCCCGTTACAAATTAGCCCATATTATCTCTACCACTTAATACTTTTTTTTTTTTACACTGCAAAAATTATTTCTATTATTTCTTTATTAGTTTTTTTTTCACAGTACAATGATATAATTTAAACAAGAAAAAACGTCAACGGAATAAGAAAAATGACTTAATTCAAAGGCAACATAAGTTTTGTTTCTTACCCTACAGGCAGATAATTGTTATTGTTTTAAGCATAAAGTCACTTAATATTTCAGAAAACAAGACATTATGTCTAATGTCATTTTGCTTCTGAAGTACAGTAAATGCATCTTGATTTAAGAATGTTTTGTCCAAGCTAATTTTTCTGTCTTAGCTTCTGAGTTATGATCTGATACATACGATTGTGTTACAAGAATACAGTCAATTACATAATCTTTTAGCATCTCATTAAACAAAAGATTGCATTTGCTGAAGATTGCATTTTTATGTAGCCTCTTTCTTCTAGCCTGATTATTGACGTTACAAGTGTGTTTTACTGAAACTACTCAGTGTTACATGGAGCTGAACTCCTGTGCCCTTTACACTTTTTCCTCCTGAAACAAGAACATAAACGATACACACACAGACAATATATTATATCCTTTCTCTTCCACTCTATTTGATTTTTCAATCTTTCCTAGAAACATATTGATTGTGAATGCAGCATCCTAATTACAACCACCAAACCAGACTGTACAGGTCAAACACCAGCAATCTATAGTCTTTGTACAAACAGTTCAACTTTTCCATATGCTTTCAAGCATATATATATTTTTTATGAAATTTTCCCCCAGAGTGCTTTCTGAAATTCCTAAGCATGTTTTATTTGGGGGCCTTTGTTATTTTTTATTTATACAGATAGTAGAGAGAAGGAAAGGAATTGTTTGAGGGGAGAAAATGTGAACAGGACGCGAGCCAGATTCGAACCTGTCTCCTCCAAGTGAGTGCCAAGGCTCAACGTGCCCGTTACAAATTAGCCCATATTATCTCTACCACTTAATACTTTTTTTTTTTTACACTGCAAAAATTATTTCTATTATTTCTTTATTAGTTTTTTTTTCACAGTACAATGATATAATTTAAACAAGAAAAAACGTCAACGGAATAAGAAAAATGACTTAATTCAAAGGCAACATAAGTTTTGTTTCTTACCCTACAGGCAGATAATTGTTATTGTTTTAAGCATAAAGTCACTTAATATTTCAGAAAACAAGACATTATGTCTAATGTCATTTTGCTTCTGAAGTACAGTAAATGCATCTTGATTTAAGAATGTTTTGTCCAAGCTAATTTTTCTGTCTTAGCTTCTGAGTTATGATCTGATACATACGATTGTGTTACAAGAATACAGTCAATTACATAATCTTTTAGCATCTCATTAAACAAAACCTGCTGAAGATTGCATTTTTATGTAGCCTCTTTCTTCTATTCCTCCTCTAAATGTGAACAATCTCTCTCATATTATCCTTCAGAAATGACCTCACTCCGCCAAGGTTTTCTTGACATTTCTAAGAAAACAGTCTGGGCTGTATAATAGAGGCTCCAGTGAATGGCCTTGTTCTGTTTAGTTAGCATAGATTACAGTTCTTCTGAAATCTCTGTCTGGCATGTTCTCTGATATCAGACTGGGAGCCATCCTCAAGGACAGAGAGTGAACTATGAGGAATTTTCCCACCCATTATACTAAGCCTTCTGCTGAGGCAGGCCTGTTTGTCCGTTGTGTTATTGTATTTGGCAGGTGTGCATGCATGTGAGAGACCAACACGTAGCAGCCACGGCCTTTTCCTATAGTCTAACACGTTCTGTGCGACTAGACAAAACAGCCACTAATATGGGCACCGTGCTTGAATGTGTGTGCACGTGAGTCTACTAAACATTTCAACACTGCCAGGCCAATCAGCAGAAGCTGCGGTGGAGATGAGTGATGATGAGGGATACAAGAGGGCAACGGCATGGGCAGTCACGTAGCATGACAAGAGGTCTCTCTCTATCATTAAAAATATACTTAAACACAGCACAACAAAACATGTGTTTACAGGCACACACACACAAACTTTCAGTCTTTAAGATGGAGTTATTTTAAAAGCATGGGAAATGCCTTTAATCCAAAGAGTAAATACTAAATATCTAGGATTTGCCGTTTAGGATAAAACATTTGATAGGAAGTCTTAGGAATTACAATCAACAGTCAGTATTTGAAATTCTGCACTCGCTTCATACTTCAAGGAATAATTCACCAAAAAATGAAATTTAGCATTCAATCACTGTGTAAGCATGTATAAAAATTATATTCTATCTACTTGTTTTTCTTTGTGTGTGTGTTTGTATATGTGTGTATAATATATATATATATATATATACAGTATATACACCTTGCTACACTGCGTTAGGCTAACCGAGACTTGTCATTTGCACTTATATATTGTTGCTCTTTTGTTAGTTTTGACTGCTTTTATTGTCCTCATTTGTAAGTCGCTTTGGATAAAAGCGTCTGCTAAATGACTAAATGTAAATGTAAAAACATCTGTGTAGCCAATAAAACATCACAATAATTAATTGACTTCTTGTGAAGCGAAAAGCTGCATGTTCACAAGAAACAAATCCATCATTAAAGTGTTTAACTTTAAACTTTTTTTCCAGTCCATAATCCACAATAACACTTCCTTCAGTAAAAAGTCCATTCCAACTTGTCCTCTCACATCAAAATTCAGAGACATATTTGTTTAGAATTGTTTTGGATGGTTTCTGCTTGTAAACCGTGCTTGATCTGTGCATATTTCTCTCCTGATTCAGATAATACAACTTTTCTCACAGGAAAAAGCAATATTAGGCATAAAGGACTAGTATTTTAGATCACAGCAACAGTTTGAGGTACTGTTTGAAGTACTGAAGTTACTTGATGGACCAGAATCATGTGGCTTATTTGTGGATTACATTATAAGCTGTTTGAACTCTCATTCTGATGGCACCCATTCACTGCAGAAGATCCATTGGTGAGCAAGTGATGTAATGCTAAATTTCTCCAAATCTGTTCCAATAAAGAAACAAACTCATCTACACCTCGGATGGCCTGAGGGTACAAGTAAATTTTCAGCAAATTTTAATTTTTGGGTGACCTAATACTATAAATCAGTTTGCGGTTAATATAATTTGTAAGTTAAAAATTCTGAAAAATACAAGGATTTTCACTAGTGCTCTACAACCTTTGGACCTAATTTTTAATACTTTTTTGCAGTTTAAGGTCTTACCAGGTAGGCACACTCTGGTGATGGGGGGCTGGTTGGACACAGGGGACCTCCTGCAAGAGGAAATGTTGAAGAATTACTGAAAATGTGGTCGAATAAATACAAACAAACAATTATGACACAAGCAGAAAACCCCTACAATTCAAAAACTTCTGTGTGTCATTCCTTTGCGTCATCTCTAACTGAAACAGGATGCATAATGTCAAAGCAAAGAGCATACTTTATGGGATGATATTAGACTCTAAATGATTAATAGATGCACGTACAATTATCCATGTACTGCATAAATTTTATACATGTATCTTACTAACCACAAACAAATATCTTTCAATTTGAGTCTGTGGAATTCAGGATTAAATGATTGTGCAGCGATTTGTACAAATACAGACATGTTTGCGAATAAAAATGTTCTGTTCTGCATTAATATATCATAAATTGCTCATGCAAAAAGGAATCTGTGCATATGTGGATCAGGTGACACGCGTG